TATATATATCAAAATGCGAATGAATGTATAACAATTGAGAACAATCATTTAGTTTAACAGTAAATCATATTTTACAGCTTCTTCATGTAACACTTGAATAAGTAGTGAACTAATTTGAACAGAATTAAATTAAATAAAGTAAAATAGAATTAGAAATAATTAAAAGTTGAAAATCAAATTAATCCAATTAAGAAATTAATATAAACTAAATCAAAGGAGAAGGAAATATGAAGAAAACATGCTATTATAATTTCATTTTTTTCAAAAAGCAACTCAATTTTGTAATTGCATTCAAGCGCTGCAAAACTATTGCATGCAGATGTGAATCTATCAGTGTGTACGGGAATATTATCATTAGTCAATGGAAGCTGTTGTACGAAAGAAATAGAAACTATTATGCTTAATAAGATGAAACAAGAATTGGCGACTGTTTATCAAGACAGGATTATTGCACTGAAGCAATCACTTTATTATCACTATGAACTCTTCGATAGTACGCTTTTAAACAATTTTTCAAACTTTGAAATGAATATCAATTTTCCTCTTCCCATTCTTATCCTATTCATTTATTCATATTTACTATTATAATCAGATAGGTTACTATTTATAATTAAAAAGCATCGATTTTCCAAAGCAAAAATTCCTTCTAATTTTGAAATAAGAATAAATGTAAACTTTCTGCATCATTTTGAGAGATTATATCACACTTATCAATGGATATCTTCAGCTTTATAAAAAATTTAGCAAAAATTTCTATATTTGCTGAATTTGTATATAAATGCAATGAAACTTATGGAAAAGAAAGTTTTACATTTTAAATCTATCGTTACTATTCCATTTAAAAAATATTTAATTTATATAATATTCAAAAATTAATTAATTAATATAATATTCAAAAATTTGTTAACCTAAAAGTGCAAATGTGTATCTCTCTCTCTCCCTCTCTCAGAGAAAGAGGAAAAGATATACAAGAAAGGAAGAATTGGTGGTAGTCTTCCAGAATGATGACGGTCTTCCATTTTTCTTCCATCTGAAATCAATCATATGGCATAAGAAAAATTTTCAATCTTGAGCTATAATTTTCTGGAGAATTCAACCAATTTCACTTCTCTGGCAGGATGCGGTAATTATCATTTACTGTAAGAAGAGCACCATAGAAAATGTCGCTTAAAAAGGTTTCTTATGTAGAGGGGAAGTATGTGTAGAGAGAGAACAGATATACAGCATTTGATCAAAAATTACAGTAACACTTAGAAGTGATTAGTTTTTACCATGCGGAATTGTCGTAGGTTAAATTATGATCGTACAGCATTTTTTGCAATGATTATTTGTTAGTTCTATAACTTTAATGATAAATTATTTTTAAGAGCAATACAAGGAAGGAATCGATGCATCGAGAAAGCAATTGCATGCAATGTTCACCCGGACATACGGAACACTTTATCAGTCAAATGCGCAGGTGCTAATTTCATCAATGTATTCAACAACAACCTCCCCCTCCCCCTCATTTGGTTTTTAGCTTCGAAATTTCGAACATCACTAAAAGAATAATAACGTTTAACTTTTTGAATAGATATATCTGTAATTATTAGAATTTCCTGCTACTTACCAATTTGCTTTTTTGTCATCAAAGATTTAAGTAATATTATTAATCGGTAGGTAACATAACTAAAAAAATTTCTGATAAATTTCATCCACGTGAATGAGATGACAATATTTCAGATTTTAGATCTTTGATAAATTTTTCGACGATTTGCAAGAGTTCTACGCAGGACAAAAGTATATTTCCCTAAAACCCATCTTAGATCGATTTTTCTTAGATCTCTTCCGAACTTTGCTGCTTATTCTTAATCCAACGGTTAAATTTTATTTTCGATTGAGATACGAAATTTATTTTTCAAAAATATTGAAACATATTGCAAAAGTATGAAATATGAATGTAAAAAAATATTGATGAAATTTTTAACAATAGACAATAGTTTATCTATCAATTTCCTATTCGTAATTTGTCTTTTAAAGTTTATTGAAACAATTAATAGTAAAATGATACTTCAAAGAAATTATTGGTTTAGATTTTTTAGTATGAAATTAAAGAGGATAACTCTAACTGTTCGAAAAATTCTTTTGCATTACAAGCATTCGGTGACATACCGTTGAAGATGATTCGACAGCTTGAGAGAAGTCTAAGAGCTGCGAGATCACTAACTCATGCCCTAAAGTCATCATCTGATATTCTTCAGAATATCATACAGGTTAATATTCCACAATCCTCCTAATAGAATATAATAATCAAATTAACAAAAGTATTAATTATTACTAAGCTTCAAGTTCAGCGTACAAAATCAGTTGCAACCCTGCTTGCATTTTGCTACCAAAATTGACCGAAATTTGAGATTTCAAAAAATGGTGAGGCCAAGACTGGAAGCATATATCATTTACTCGAAGTAAGCCCGAACTATTTCAGAAAGAATTGCCAAGCGATTGTCAAATTACAGCAACTCAAATGAAATATTGTGCTCATTGCTTGCCGACAGCTGAAAGGATTACATTTAGCAAATCATTGAAACCATGTCAAATGTACTGTTTCAATACAATAAACAAATGCTTCGCCGATTATATCGTCATCGAGAACACGTGGCAGCAATTTATTGGCATGTCTTATAATTTTAACAATTTCTTACCTCATTTCATGCCTTTGATGAATGCACAAATTTTTATTTTTCATCAAAATCTTCACCCTGACCTTTTCATAATTTTATTTCTATTTTAAACATTCAGTTAAAAATTTCTGTTCCTTTTTCACTTATCGATTACTAATCACTGACCACAATTATCAGCCTATTCACTGGCTAAATAATTATATGTTCCCATGAAATATGATTAGCTAACACAAATTAAATCAATAATTTAATTAAATTACAATTAATCATTGCTGCATTCATTTCCAAATATTACTTTGATTGTTTTACTATAATTATGTGGAAATTAGCTGATATAGTAATTGAATTTGGATCAAATTGTATAATTTGAAAATTTGAAAATATGGCCATCCATCTGATTTATCGAGCAGATTCGCGGAAGGATATAGAAAAAGCATCCGAGATAGCATGGTAAAATTAGATAATAGGTAAAATATGTAAAATACGCATAAAATAATTTGAATTTCATTTAAATTCAAAAAGTTGTGAACTATAATGGTATTTATCCTTAAATTTCAAATTTGATGGTGGAAGCAAAAGATTCCTAATATCGGAAGATTTTAATTTTCGTTAGATTACATTTTGTATTACATTGCATTAACTTCAGGAATGAAATAGGCAGTTGAAAAAATTAGTGAAAAAAAGGTTTTGAAATTTGTTACCTGTCAGAACATACCTGATTAGATTATATAAATTGGCTCCATTAGATGAATATTATTACTAATTGTTCTTATGCTAAAGATTAATCTTTAAAGTTATTAAATATAGATTTTAAGATTTTGTTTCCAAAATTTCAAAATGAGACGGTCATCTTTATCTTTATTTTTGGAAGGAATAAATAATTGAAATCCGATGAATAAATAATAAATTATCACATGTAATACTAATTAGTAAATTTCATTAATTTCTTCAAGAAAAAAATTATAAATTAGCAGATTTATCGTAATGATTGAGAAATTTAGAAATAACTAACGAATTAAAATTTTAAAATCTATACTTTTTTTACTAATATTAAATTATTTTATGAGTAACAAAAGGTATGAGATCATTGAAATTTTGAATCTGAAATAATTCTCTTCTTCTTTTGCTTCACATTTCTTTTATTGTTCTTTTAATATTGATGTGCAACATAGATATCAATTTGAAAAATAATGATTTTAATTTGATGATTATAATTATCCCACTTCAATTTATTTATTGTAGAAACTTTAACAAAGTTGGCGACACGTCTACGTGGGCCACATAACGTGATGGCTGTCCTGATTTCACTTGCGGTGCAAATCTCTGAAAGCATTATGGTATTTCAGGAAAAAATTCCAGCAATATCTTCCAAGGTTATTTCACGTTATTTCATTCAATCAGTTTTTATTAATTTCTTTTATCCAAAAGGTTTTTTCCTGAAATAGTTAGGAAGTGAATATGAATTTTCCTAAATGGATTATTGTAACATGAAAACAGCGCAATGCAGAGAAAGAGTTTATTGTTTAAATTAATTAATTCTTGTTGGATCTTTTGTCAAATATGACATCTTGAAAGAACTGATGTTTTTAAAATGATCGAATTTGACAAATTGAGGCATTATATGAATTCTAACCTAATTTTTTGGCTCCGATATTTTCTCAATTTATGTCTAATCGCTTGGTTTGGGGCAGTTTTTAGGAAGGAAAGATTGCAGAAAATGAATTATTTTTATATATCATTAAATATTTGGACTATAAAATTCTAAATTTGAAATTCTGCTCAAAATAATTAAGCGATAGGCGTTCAAAATACCTAAATTGATCCATAATAAATTACGAAAAATTTCAGATTGCACGTAAATGTCTACGGAAAGATAGCGAACAGTCATTAAAACACGAGACTGCGACATTCAAAACATCACCGGAACCATTACCTGATTTTTCTTCTGCCCTAACAAATGCTCAATCACAATTGCTTGCTTCGTTTATCGGAAAGGTCAGTTATGATGGGCCGGATCAGTAAATCACTTTGAAATAAGTAGCAGTTATTTTAGACTATTCAGCTGTTAAACTTTTATTCTGTCTATTTGTTCGCTTATTAATGTCAGTCTACTTTATATTTTTGCTATCTAGCTAGAAGAATTTCGAGGATTCTGGAAAATTGGTCCACAACTTTCATGTATCAATTCCACCTGGTCAGCTGCAACAAGTGATGACACTTGTTGGGATGGTACAAAAATAGTGAATGATTTGAAGACTGTGAATGAAATATTCGATGGTGGTATTGAATCAAATTTTACAACGAGTAAAAATAAAAATTAATTTTACAATGAATTCCAAATATATTGTTTAATTTTTTATTCTAGTAAAATTTTGATTTTTCATTTTCTAATTTTTTTAATACGCCAGAAATTTATTCAATTTTAGCTTAAGATTCATTTCATTCTGATACTATACCGAGGCACAACTCAGTAATATTCATTCCCATAGTAAACTGCAAAACCATTATAAAATTTAATTGTTTAAACTTCATTAGAAATTTTAGGCGTATTCTTGACTGAGAGATTGAAATTGCTTATGCTTTCGAATCGATTGTTGGATAGTTATGAAGGAAGATGGCTATATAATGAAAGCATTGATGTTGATGTCGAAGCGAGCGGTGACAGCAATTCATACCTTTCCATTGATGATGAAGATGGGGTAAGTTTCAGTGCAAATTGATGTCAACCTGATTATCGTTAATAGCTATTATTTAAATTTTATTTCAGTAAAATTATGGTATTTCAAGCCGGCTGATTTTACACGCCTACAAAAACGTGACAGCCTAATATTTAGGATGAATTTCGGGATGAGGGAAGCGGTTTTGATGAAAATCAAGCCGCAGTGGTAGTCGACGTTGCAGGTTCTCATCGAGATAACATAGAACCATTAGCTACCGAAGAATTTGATTTGCAAAGTAGCAGCATAAACGCCTCTGAACCAAACGTCACGTTACAAGTGCCAGATGTCGAGACTGCAAAAACTTCTCGGAAGATATTTTCTTGCATATTATATTTCATGATTATCTTCCATATTTTATAGCACTGCAAATGAATTATTCTAGAACTTACATTTTCTCGATTAATATTCTAAAATTTAAATTTTCATTGATGAACTTGTTAAGAAGGAAAATAGTAATAAGAAAGACGAAAAAATGGCAAATGAATGCACAATTTCATCAGAATCACTCATATAGATAAAGAGAAATTTTGAAGTTTAATGACAAAGAAATTTTAAAAATCGGTTTTTTTTTTACAGTAAAATCCCTAAAAAATTTAAATATTCTTGTTGTCAACAAATGTATGTTATGTATATCTATTATATTTATTTTATGATAAAATTTATTATTCTATGCATATTATTATGAACTCCTTCACATCGATGTACAGAAGATTTTAATAATTTATCTGCGTCTTTTCAACTTTCATATTTTAATAAAGAAAAATAAATTGATATATTTTTTGTAATTTTAAGACAGAAAACGACACTTCTATTTCTTAAAGATATTCATTTGATATCAGCAATGCCCCCATTTGACAAGCTACTTCTAAGCAAAGATTCTGGAGTACTATCAGTAGCTAATAATGTTGAGTACTTTGTATTATTCAGATAAATAACTTGGTAAAGTTTGGAAAATAATTTTATTCGAATACTAAATTGTATATGTATATGTATACATAGAAAATCAAATTGGGCATAATTATCGTGCATGCTATGCAAAACCCTTGCCGTTCTTCGCATTTATAGAAAGAACTGAAATTAATAATGATTTGTTTCAAGCACTACAATCAAAAATTCATATAGATATTTGCCAAAAAGGAACTCCAAATACTACTCAGCAACCCTTATGTACGTATCAAATCTTCAAAATCATCAACACAACACAACACGAAAATTATCAACAAACAAATCTTTGGTATGAGGACAGAATTTTGTCTTCCTGCTAACTGTAACAGCAGAGATCAAGTTTGACAAAAGCCAATATAGGTTTTTCATACTGATGGCAGAATTGTACGTTTGTACGACAACTAATGTTTCAAGTAAGGCTTAAGATAAGCTTAATACACCATTTACTTAGATTCATTCACTGTCCACTGGAATAAATTCAAAATCAAATTCAAAATAACGGACAGCTAACCAATGACACCGACAATGAATAACATACAAGCTCCAACTATGGCCATCGTTAAACGTACACTACGCCACCACATATTACGTCTAATCTGAACTGCCTTACGCGAAAACTGTTCTGCTCGAGACTCCATCTCGTCTAGAATATAAAATACAGGAACAGAGAAGATAATTACATCTTCCAATTGAGGAAAGTATCGCTTGAACAAGATATCATCATTTTGATAAAGTATTGAAGCAATGGAATCACCGATGTTGCCGCGAATTTTTCAATTCAATCGCTTAAAATTTATAAAATTGAAAAAGAAATTTTTTTAAAGCACGCTGCGCTGTAGGACACGAAAATATACAATGAAATTTTTTGCTTTTCGTTGGTCAATTAAGGAAAGCTAATTAAAATTAATATATGCAATATATAGTCTGTGAATGTGAAATTACTTTAAAATGATTAATATTACGATTTAGACTCTTCCGCACTCAATATTTCCAAAACTCTATAAAAAAAAAATCACCGACGCGTGCGGTTAGATTCTGCAATCGACCTTCACGCTCAATAATACGATCAATATCACCTCGAACAATTTCTATCACTTCTTCAAGTTTCTTTTGAGTTTTATGGAGTTTGTTTGAATTCAGTGTTGTTGCTGTTGTTCTACCAATATGTGTTACTGGAAGACTAAATGGCTCCATTTTACCTTAAATATAATAAAGTAAGAATAAAAACAAATATGATTGGTGGAAAAGAAAAAAACAACAGTGAATAATCGCAAATGTTCGTTCATATAATATAATGTTATTACATACAAACCACAGTCACGGATGGATATATTCTAAAATATGCTAATACTAAAATAATTGCTGGTTAAGGTGCTCCGATAAGATATTTTCCAATTCGTCAATGAGAATTTCTGAAATTACTATCATTATGATGATATCAATGTTTGTAACGATTGAATATGTAAAAAAAACTAAAAAGGACAATAATTTAGGCGTAGTAAAAGTGGTTGGTTAAATAAATGAAAAAGATATAGTAGGAAGCAAAAGGAATATATCCAATGAATAAACACAACCTGTATTGCTCTGTCACTCAAACTACAATGGCAATAAATCGAATCTTCCATTTTAACTTCTCATTTCTGCAGCGGAAATGACAAACAGTATAAATTTCACATGCAGAAAATATTTTTTTGGAAAAAAACGTCATTCTATTCACTCCACGTTACATACGCTAACTTATGACATTTTTGGATGTGTGTTCTGGCCACCAACGTCGATGAGATGCTATTGTTTCGTTGTGCATTACCACTCAATCAGTATTCGAGTTTAGGTTGGTTGCGCGGTTCGGCGGTAATTGGTCGTGCAGTGGAGATAAGTTTGCTAATAATCAGACTATATAGTGGTAGTTTTTAATTTTTTCCTCAGTTTTATATCAGAAAAGTAGAGAGAATCTGATTGATAATCCAGAAAACGTGAAGCCAAAGACATTGTATTTGACCCTAGAAATTGTCTTTCTCCCATTTTTTTCTACTTCTTGCATTTCAAAGTCGTAGCTTCGTCCCAATTTTCTTTGAGAACTCTCTTTATTTGTAAAAATTTTTTATTATTAATTCTTAACAAGGTTATTTGCTTATATATTATAAAACATACATTTGTTCGTATATTTTGTTTGTATATTTTTTTGCATGTCCATCCAACGATTTTGCCAAATCTATCACATTTTAAATTTTAATGTGATTCTTTAAAGATTTATTCATGGAGTGTAACTGATACGCAAGAAGAAAGATGGCAGATGCATTTGTGGATATTTCAGTAAGTGCTGTTTTAAAATTGGCATTCATTATAACTAGTTTATTTAGCAGGTTATAACATTCATTCCATTCTCGTAATTGAAAGAACTTTTTTACTCTTTCCAGGATTTCCAGTTCCGGGCACTTCAACGTGTAAGAGTATTCGATAAGCCCGATATAGCATTGTACGACAGTATATGTCCGTCCTGGATTACTGTTTCATCGCGATATGGGATTATTGTTTGTGCTTCTGGCTGTGATAAGTTAATATCTTTAAGAAGCAGTGATGTTTACCGGTTAAAAAGTGGAGCTGATATCAATGTAGAAGTGACCGATATTCAGATGAAAGTAACAAATCTCCGAGTTGAACAGGTTAATTTATGTTCGCAGTTATTTATAAAGCTTTTTATCAACGCTTCAGGTATATTTCGAATTCTGAGTAGCTTCTTTTCTTTCGTTGTTTCTTTTATTTTGGATTTTGCCAAAATATCATTTCACAGCAACCAATTCATTACTATGATTTAAATTTGTTGAAACATTAAAAGATATCCATCCAGCTGTCCGAATTTGTTTCCAGTCTTCTATTCAAAAGTCATCAGTGCTAGTTTCAATACCGGTTTCAAGTTATTTTTCCATTAAATCTTTAATTCACTTATATTATAATTGAAGTCAGGACGTGTTTTAACCTTGATTTAAGAAATTTATGCATTGCATCCCAATATCCTTTCAGCTTATTGCACTGACTGCACTAGCCTGTAACTGCTCAGGTCGCCTGTTATCGGTCTCAGTGCGAACAGCACTTGGAGCATTCGTATATCTCTATGATATATGTGCATTTGCTGTTGATTATGTTGAGCAGGTTAGTTTATTTAGTATATAATGGCTTGTAAAGTTATTTTTATTCTGATTTCGTGACTTTGTCCTTTTTGTGATATGTTCAAGATGATCGTCTTATTTTGTAACTACAATCCTTACTTACTAATTTGCATGTTCAGAGAGACTGCTACTTTGCATATTCACTACTGCCATTAACACTTTGTGTGTTCAAAAATATACATGTTTCGATTTTCGATCCTTAATTTTTGAATCCTTGTAATTGATTGAAACCTTATAATTAGATAATGCTGAATAGAGATTTCTTGCAGAGAGGAGCTCTTTATAATTTGCGACTTTCTGCTGATCCAAATGCTCAACCTTGTGTCTTAAAATGGAATCCACAACAGGACACTGTATTTGCTGTTGCTACGTCCGATGGCGTGTTATCCTGTTATTCTTTTGATATTGAGGTAGTCCACTTTTAACAAAGTTTTCTCTAACTCCGTGAATGTTGTTTCAACTCGGAAATCATGGTGCTGATTAAATCGAAATATGGGCCCTTTTTTAAAATATATTTATGATACTTTTTCAAGGGATTCTTGAAATATTACTTAATCATACCGTCGTGACATGAAAGTTATAACAACTAAATAGTGTCGGCGAGTGCTGGGAAGCATCTCAGAAACTGAAAACAAATCAAAAACGCATTATTATTTATTGGTCGGGTCCCGCAACCCGCAACGTATTGAACTTTCTTATAAGATAGATACTTGATGTGACCATATGCTAAGGAAGTCACGCTCAATGTTTGACTTCGTGATGGTATAATAAAAAGTGAAGTTTTTGCAGAAATCGTCTTCGATAACCTTGATTGGCACAGTTAAACATGATAATGTTGTAACTTGTATAGGGTGGAGTCCAAAAGGGAAGCAGTTGGTCGTAGGCGATACGTCGGGTTATATAAAGCAGTATAAACCTGAAATGGCATTGGTGCGCGTGATACCACCTCCTTTAAAAGGTGTTTTTTTAACTGGATCATTTTAACTTAATGCAGCATAGCTTAAGCTGGCGAAACATTCGTTAATGGAAAAGCTTTTATCGATACATAGAACCGTCTTTTTATCACTGCAGACAAAAACCATGCTCTTCGTTGCGTCGGAATCAGTTGGCTTGCAACTACCGACTTTCTCATTGCTTATTCTCCCAAGACAGCACAGGAAGTGGATATAACAAAGTTATGTGTGAAAAAGGATGCACCACCTCAATGGACACATTTCGATGATATTAACTTCTGTGGCGATAAAAGCATTTTCGATCAGCGAATTGAATTTACACAACTGTTGAGTTGGAAATTGGTATTGTGCTCTTCGTCACGATCCAGTGAGGTAAGCGATTTTTTCGAGGAGAAAGAAAACATATCTTAATAAATAAAGTACGCAGTTCCAAAAAGCGAGAGTTTTCTTCTTTAGAACTATCTCGCATTTTTGGCAGTATCATCCAGCATGACGTCAATAATTGAAAAATAAATGTGTTAAAGATAACTATTTCTCGAATTGCTCTTTATTTCAGATAGTAGTAATAGGTAAAATAGGCTCTGAATGGAAGATCTGGACTTTGGATGATAATGGACGAATTGAAATGCCTCTTGACTGTGAACATCGTGAAACCTTTCCAATTGGTGTTTCTATCGACATATCATCAGTCCTTCCTATCAAGATTGGTATGCTATTTGCATCTAATGTCATTGCAGAGACTAATGATTGTAGTTTTCGTTTTAGTCCAAAAAGTAAATATCCGTATAAGTAGATTATTTTGTGAAACATCCTTATTAAATAAAATACGTAATTCCAAAAAGCAAAAAAGTTTTCTTCGTTAAGAGCATTTTTCACAGCGTAGAAATGTCAAATAAAGTTTCAAATAAGGCTGAAATCAATTAACTGCGTCATAGGTAATGACGACAATGCGGAACGTCCTCCTTGTCCTACAGTTTTGGTGTTATCGTCTCAAGGAGTTCTTCTTGCTTTCAACGCATTATCTTCTCGTGCCGAACACCAAAACATTAATATGTATGCATCTGGTTTTCTGTTCCTTTTCTAGAGAAAGTTTGTTCACAAAATGCTAAAGACTAACTGCCAAATAATTTAATTCTTTAGTTCAAGATACGAATATCGAGATGTAGATTTCCCTACTTTGTTAATATCTGTTTATTAACATTCATCCGATTAGTTGCATTGAGAAGTTTTTAATTCAAATCCCAAAATTCCAGAAGCATTTATTTTCTAGACATCCAGAAGGTTTGCCGTCAGAAATTTACGGGACGATAGCAGCAAAGGTTGACGTAATGCAGAGTGAGTATTCATGTACTAGTTCGCCAGATACAATATGTCAAACTATTCCAGTCCCTGAAGATTCGCGAGGCTCTGAAAGTATATCCATTCCAAAACAGAATGTTTCCCAGCTGCAAGTGGAAGCAAAGGTTTGCACTTACTAAAACCAAAGGTCTGAAAGTTAGTTAAAAACCTAATTTGAAGTTATTTGAAACTTCTCCAACGTTTAGGTATTTTAACAGAAGTTGTATTTTTTTATATATTTTAACAGAGCAGAAATTTTATATTGTAGTTCATTCAGTATTTCTGATAGAGTTGTCCGAATGCAGTATAAGTTTTACTAGTTTTAGTTATGAGAAATAATTTCAGGTAAATACGCCGCAGACTGCACAGGCAACAACAATGTCAAAATTACATGAACATGAATTACATGAAAAACCTTCTAGTGAAGTACAAGATTCAGCAGTTCCACAGCGAGAGATGCAGGAACATCTACAACACCAGCGGTTGAAAGCAGGGATCCATCTGATCACAGAATTACGGGAAGATTTTCGAAAAAAACTTACCGTTTTTGATCAACAGTTCTTCGAATTTTGTGAACAAAATGATTGGCTTCAAAATCTGAAAAAAAGCTTTGCAAAACAGATGGAATGGAATAATGGTTAGTGTGAGGGATCAATAATTTCTTTAGGAATCAAAACAAAAAAAAAGTTATATATTTATGGTATTGACTTTATGTTGTAGGCATCAATTTGGATGATGAAATATCAGAGTTGGAGAAAGTTCGAACTGTTGTTGCATCATGGCTTGACACTTTAGAGAATCAAATGAAAGAGAGTATGTGTTCAGCTGAAGAGCAGTTGGGACTTGCGAATAGTACCGATCGAGAACTGTTTGACAGTAGACGGATGTTAGATTTCAACAATGTAATGAATTAAAATTATTTTGAGCATGAAATTGTGATGTTTTTAGCGTTTGTGATAGAAATTTGATGCAATACCGCACATGCTTTTCATTATTTTCCAGATGCATCGTTTTGATAAATTGACGGGAGCCCTGACAAAACTAGAACAGAAAATTGCGAGTGCTGAAAATGTATTGACAGAAATGCCAACATGTAATACAAAAAACAGGTTAATTATACAAAAAAGTGCATGTTCTTTTTCGAAACTAACGGAAAACTTTCTCCTGATCAGATGAAGTAAGACTTTCATAGTTTTGCATCTCAATGAGGCCACCTTTGAATACCTGATAGTTGGCTGAATTTAAGAAATTATATAATCTTTAGGCAAGCAGAAGTTATTGACAGAGCTGTAATAGAGAATATTCAATTTTTGTTTGAAATTTTAGATCACTTTTAACTTTGGATATTGATCAAGAACAACAGATTACTACGACTGCAAAGAATATCTGCAAAGGAATGGTCACACGACGGAAAGCTTTATGTGAATTGCAACAACGGGTTACAAGTTTGAGTAGTCGATTAAAGTTAGCTATTCTTTATTAGTTTTTTTTAGACACTCTTCTCACAACATGTTTTCCAGTGCTCCTGGTCGATATAGGACCTGAGTGTTCCCAAAAACTCAGGAAGTTAAATTGGTCCTACCACTTTATATTATCATTCTACGAAACGATATGTTTTTTATGTCTTTTGGTATACCGGTTTAGGCATCGTGTAATTTCTGTTACCCTCAATTAACATAATTATTTTTTAACATTTCCTTTATTTCGCGCTGTAACTTATTCCTTACATTGTTCACATTGTAGCTGTTCTTTCAGACCATTGAAAAAAGACCGAAGAATGAGTAAATTTTTCACTTCAACGGGGTCATCTCTTTCAAATTTATCATTCAATTATCAGACTTGCAGAGAAGAATTAACAGCAAGAACAGCAACTGTTACTGCTCAACAACAAAGTGAACTGTTGAAGTACGTGGGAATTTTGGATATTTCTTTTAAAATGAGAGAAATAGTAATTCTAAAAGAAAACCACATCTTCGATTTGTCAAAATTATGTAAAAAATATTGAGGTGTATTCATCACTTAACAAATATTAATATTTTATTTTCCAAAGATATCAGATAAATTCTTACTTTTAAGCAGTGATAAGGAACTATTTTTCCATATTAATTTCATTTCAGATTTTTGACGCAACGTGGTCCTGTAAAAAAGTCAGAAGCAAAAATTGTTGTGCTTGATGTCCATTCACATGAAGCTGATGAGGGAATATCGAATTTAACTATAACAGATATTGAAAATCGTTTGCTTGACGCAGCATTAATGCCAATAAAAACACCTGCAAAACGGTTGGTTTCTAGAAAATTTAAATCTTATTTCATTTAGAACTGAAACAAAAAGACAACTGATGAATAATACTATGTTTTGATTATCAGACAGCGGTTTGAAATCGAGTGATTATCAGACTAGTATTAAACCATTATGCTTTTCTTATAGTGAATATGCCTTCTAACGATTGCTCCAGCTGCAACTTTAGTTTGCAAATAAATCATAGCTTCTGAGGCATCTTAATCGTCGAAAGTCATAATCTAACCATCGTCTAGAGTTCTATAAGTTTGTGTGTTTCTTTTATTACAGCGTTATGGATATTGGAACGCAATCACCCAATTATTTACTTTCTAAAGGTATGTTTTACTGAGTGATGTTCTCATCTTCTGGCTTCAAACTTGTTATCTTAATGTGGAATTGATAACATCTATTTAAAATACATATATATATATATATATATATATAGAAAATCTGAAGCAATGATAAGATAATTTACTTCCAATCAAATTAGAAGGTAAGAATTCTGGTATGGGAGTATAATTTTTAAAGTCCACAATAAAAATCCTTAGTTTCTCATTGCCAGATGATCAGTTTCCCTTGAGGAATAGTTTGTCATTTCAGAGATGAAATCGCCTAGAGATGTGACAGCTTCTATTCCTGTAAGCTTTATGTCCAGTGGAACCGATCCTCTAACAGTTCAGGCACGTTTTCATTTCTCTATTTGTTTTTGTTAATCTTCTGGAGAATGAATTTTTTAGAACCAGTGATTGTATTTTGTTTTGTTTAGAAGAAAAAAAGAAGTTAAAAATGTTTGATTCTTCAGAGGCACATCTGGAGTAAAATATTAAAAATAGGATTTTGCATTTGTACCACACATATACTCATATATTTTTGACATGAGAAATTTGTAAAATATTAAAGATTTATATTGCGTTTTCAGTTCAACCAGACACAAAAGCTGGCTGAATCAGCAGCTATTAATTCATCGACGACTCTACCTTCTTTCATGAATTTGAGCAGTTCTACTACAACTGTGCCAACCGCTTCCATCTCTCTTGCCACGGACACAGTTGTTAAACAGCTTCCTGAGTCATCCACGAATGTTCCAGAAACAATGGCGATGAATCAAGAGCAGCAGCATGGTGATATTACATTTTCGTTTAAAAATTTGGACACTCCATCAGCAGCAAGGAATGACGTTTCTTCTCAAGGAACCGCATCTTGCACTAACATTACACCGAGCAGACGTGATAAGGTCAGTTATAATTTGATTTTCACCTAATATCGTTTAGAAATGGTTTTTTCCTGTGATATGTGTATAAACAAGAATATATTTGCTTGCGATATGCTAGCGCAATAGTGAGATGGGTTTTCATTAATGCAATTTAGGTTAAATTTATTGAATATAACAAAAACCTCGGATGAGGAAGTGATAGAGGTAACTTGCAGAACTTTTTCGATCGAATGAGCTCTATGTAATAATCTTTTCGCGGAATATAATTGTCCGACTATATTTGACAAGAGAATATGAATTATAAACTTTAAATTTTCTAAACATTAAAATATTAAATTTTTAGACTTCTACTGCAACACAGAAAATTTTTTCAATGAAAAACAATGGAACTGACTTAGGATCATTTGTACCTGCTACAACGTCGGAATCATTGACAAATATTTCTGTGACCGCAGCTCCAGGTCTAACAACAATCACCAAAGCTGATAAAACTTCAACACAAAACTCCGAAATTTCAAGGACGAGCAATGAAGTGGCAGTAACAGATTCGACTACCTCAATGACGAATTCCAAAACATCAGGTTCCGAAACGAATGTATCTTTTACCTTCAAGGTACCAGTAGCAGGAAATCAGCAGACAACATCTGCTCCAATTGGTTAGTTATTGTTTCCAGTTGGTTAGTTATTGGTTAGTTATTTAAAGTTAAGAAACTCTAAGCAGCGTTGTAATATCGATGGTGTCATGTTTTGTGATACTTCTTAGAACCAAAATAAAGTGGAAAACTTTGTAAAGAATTGCAAGCATATTTCCTTGTGGTGGTCAAATAGTGACAAACTGTCTTATACTTCATCTTTTTAAAAGTGTCCTACCATTACCACTGTGTTGTATCCCATTCGGTGATTAACTATCAACTTTTCGAATATTCTGACTTCAATTGACAAATAACTGTTTATTTTTTCAATTTGCTAGATGTTTCGAAAAATAAAAAAACACGACCTTGTGCTTTATTACTACTGAGCGTGGCTATTATTCATTTTTCAGGCTCAACAGGTGATGGTGCCGCAAGCACAACAACTGTAGAGCTGCAATCAAAAGATTTGGATGTTATAGGGTATATTTCCTCCTTATTAACTTAGTTACATTTGAAATTTAAATGTAAAGAATGGAGTACTGATTACAGTGAGGGAGGTAAATGAGTCAAGCAGAATAATCACTACACCTGTTTTGTTAACTTTGAATCAAGTGAATAGATTGGCATCAAACTTCTGTAACAGAGTAGGGAATTTCAGTGACGATGGGATGATGGAAGCAGAGGGTACTTCAACTGCTCCGACAACGTTGTTCTCATCATCGTTATCCTTGTTAGTTTTTTTAAGCATCTAGTTTCTATAGTGTTATGAATTCTATTTGCTTTTAACCTGTGACTCTTATCAAGCTATTTCATTCTATTTTCAAATTTTATCTTTATATTCGGAAAAAAATATTAGGAATATCAAAATTGAAAAAACTTTTCTTTAGTGGTATGGGAAGTACAGTATCCAATGCCAATTCTTCACAAAACGTTTTTGGCTCTGGACTCAAATTTTTGCCATCCACACAAACTCAGACATCCTCATTGTTTGGTAGTGCTGGTGCTGGAAAGAAGAGCACCTCAGTGTTTGATTCTGGTGGCTCAGCAACGTCTTTTGGTAGTGGCGGACTGTTCAGCCAAACACAGCAGTCGAATGCAGCACCGTCAACGTTTTCGTTTAGTTCAGCGCCCAATTCGTTTAATTCCTCAAGTCTTTTTGGGTCAAAGTCATCGAGTAAGTATAATTTGATAATCGGGAGCAATTTCGAAATTGGAACTACTATTCAATATTTAGAAAGAAAATATTTAGGCCTAGTCGATGCTTTGCATAATTTAATCGATGTGATAATATACTCCTTTCAAATTCAATTCATATGCTCTTGCAATTTTCTATATTTTCCAATTTTTCTAAAATTTAGGAAATATATTAGATTGGTTGGTAACATTATATATATATAAGAAAGTGTTGTTCTCCAGAAATTTTCAAAATTTTTAATCGCCATCACTTTTAAATTCACTTTTGCAAAATTTTTAGCTGGTAGTACTACGTTTGGCGGTGCACCGTCGTTTGGTTCGAAACCAGCATTCGGATCTCCATCACCCCTTGTTTCAGCATTTGGTCAACAACGTTCTCAAAATGCTGCTTCTATAACTACTGGGTTTTCTAAGTATGTTTTTGCTATTTTAAATATTACTTTCATCATCTGCTACTTTGTTAACGACTCTATAAGATCTAACTCTGAATAATTTGGCAAAACCATAAAAAAAATGAACTTTATCGTAATGTGAAACCGTAAGTGGTTTGGTACTAAGCAGAATGGGATATCGCCAGAAACTTTGAGCAAGACGATTTACATCGTTGTGTTCTGGCTGTCGAGGAGTAAAAAACCCGTTCTTCGTTAGTTTTATAGTTTCAAGTATTAGATGCACTGATTTGATGATTAGTTTGGCTAGTCTGTTTTGTAAGATTCGTGCACGGTAGAGCCCAGTTCGTGGTTATGCTGTGCCGATATGATACAACACAAACGTTCTATTTCATGAAAAAGGAACATATATAGACAAATGGCACTTGCAGCAAAATTTTTGAAATTACTTTCCAATGATGTGAATATTTCATGTGAAAAATTAATTTTTAGCTTTGCCAAAACCAGTACTGTTGGATTTGGTTCGTTGGCTGCAAGCCAGCAACAGCAGTCATCTTCTGTATTTGGTGGAAGTGGATTTGGTGCTCTAGCGCAGCAACCTCAAAAAAGTTCAATCTTTGGGGGCGGCCTAAATTCGTCTGTAACTAACAGGTTCTGTTACACTACGGTGCTATATTTTCTATTATATATCAGATTGGACGTTATCTGAAGTATTGTAAGTTGTAATATTCAGTACTCATTCAAGTACTGTATACTAGGCTTAGGGTTTCGCATTAGTTAAGAGATCTCTCTTCCGATATATAAAATTTTAAAATAAATACCGACATTGCATCATTTTAGTTCATCGTTTTCTACGTGGCGTTAGAATATTGCTGAAGGAGCTAATAGAAGAATGCAGTTGAAAAGCTGATAAAATTGTAATAATTATTGTTTTTACACAAAATTTTATACTTTTATGAATGGTCATATTGATCATATTGGTCATATTGATTGTGCTTATATTGTTTTCATTACATCAGACAATAAATTTTTAGATTTTTTCATCTTTTGTTTGGGTTTAGAAAATCGATTCGTCGAAATTTTGAAAATATTCTGCTTCGATTTCCTTTATTGTTCCTTCGGGGTCATATCTTCTTTACTACTGTCTTAGAAGAAGCCTTGAATTCATGGAGCTGGGGGCTAAAATGCACATGACCTACGGCTATTTATAATTTAAATTCGGTTTGTCTAATTTGAGAAGTTTTTTAATGAACATTTTTATATACCCGCCATTTTGACTTTTTATAATAAACCTTTTGCGGCTGTCTCCGTTTATATATTGTTGCTTGCTGATCTCACTATTTGTTTCTTGATGTATATGAGCTTCTAAAGTGTAAAATAGCGTGTGATATATAATCTTTGAATTCATTTGGAAGACAGTATCTTATTGAAAATGTTAAACATTGTTGGGTTCTTCGCTTTCCTCATTATTTGTTATTCTTTTATTTCTTCAGCAAGTTTGGGAATGCTAGTAGGATAGAAATAAGGCAGGGAAAGAACAAAGATCTGGTAAAATCTGTGAGCTTTTTTAATCAGCCAAATGAAGAGTATCTATAAAGAAATGAAAGCTGAAACATTGAATCCATAATCTATAAATTTATTAAAATGAATGCAAGAAAGCAAATTCATCAGTGATTTCTCTCCTACCTTTCATTACTTCTTACATACAGGTACGTAATTCCTGAAGGACATACTAACATTACACATTTGAAAAGTATTCACTTACAGCAAGTAAGTGAATGGGTTTGAAATGTGTAATTAAATAAATGAGTGATCGCAACATCAGTTTCCTCCATTAACTGATTCACTATTTCAATTTTAACTTTGTTTCTGTTATTGCTCTTTTCTTGGTGCGAATCGTATTATGCTGTCTTAAATCATGCAAAAGGATCAGAAGTTAAGTGGTGCAATGCGTTACATTGGTGAATAAGCTGCGTAATTTTAATCTGTGCGAAAGATATGGCGGTGTTTGATTCTTTCTATGAGATCTATCTCCTTAAAGGCTATTATTCCCGAGAAATACGATGAAATGTATGAAAGGAACCCAATAGAAAACGAAATTTAAAAATAATGAAAATATTACAAACTCAAAATAAGATAATGTGATCATATATTCTAAGGAAGTCAGTCACTAATTACCCGATAAATTGCAGTTTAATCAGTGGCAGCGTCAAAATGTTGTGTGATGGAGTGCAAGAAGTTGATAAATATAAAAATGAAGGAAACGGGATGCCAATCAATCCATCATCGCTAAAGAGCACTTGTAAAATTGATTCAGATTTAGACTGCCAGGAGATTCTATAGGATGAAGATATGATGTAAAGGATTCAGTGATTCAGTTAAGCAGATAAATTCTAACCTCTGTTAGATCATATTCTCGCTCATTTTACTTTTAATTTTATATTCTTGCACAAGAAGTTAAAGTCACAAATTTCATATGGATAAGTTTGAATGAATAGAGTAGAAAGAATAAACAAATGTTATATAGGATAATAGTACGATTGTATCATACTATCTTCCTCATGTTTATTATTATCTAGAGGTTCTCGATCAATGACTTCATTCTCTTTTCATTAATAGATCTTCTCTTTTTCTTAGTAATATTTATGAGTCATTATTTTTTCGTTATTTTATAAATCAAACAAATTTTATATGACTGATAGATAGATAGTGTACAATTTGCTGCTGTTCTACCAAAATTTTGAAAATCTATTCCTCTCTCTAATCATACAGTACCGTATGGAAATGATTAGAAGTATGTTTGTTCTCTGGACAAATTGTAAATTGTAAATTTTACGCTATCCACCAGTCATATAAGATTAATTTCCCTAATGAATATTATTTTATTCTATACTAAAGCTATATTGATATGATTATTCTATAATTGATATAATCCATACTTTTTTCGATACAATAACCATTCCGGAGATAAGTTTCAGGAATTTGAGAACAAAAAATGCATGTTAATTTTTTTGCAGTTTTCGTCGTAAATAATACATTAAGCAATAAAGCAATTAAGCAATAATGTATTGTTTCTTTTTTCTCTTATTCATTTTTGGGATAAAATTTGATTTCTGGGAAAATCATATCTCTTTTTTCATAAAAAGATCATCCTATCTCTCATTAATTTTCAACAATTTTTGTCTTCAAAAATCGATAAACGAATGTAGTACCGTAAGTGATTGCTGGTTAAAATAAGTGATTCTTAAAGCTAATTTGCTGGTGTTTGATTGGTAGTTCTCCGCTCTTGCAACGGCTGTTCTTATCACATGAAATGGACTGGCTTGGTCAACTAGAAGGTCCTTCCAATTTCTCTCTCCTCCTCTCGCTCTCTTTCCCTTTCTCTTTCCCTCTTTCTTTCTTTCTCTCTCTCTCTCCTAACTCTTTCATATTCCATTAAAGAAATTACCGTTCACTTTCAATATGAGCAACATAAATTGGAAATTTTAGTGCGAATTTCCTTTGTTTGAAGACAAAAATTAATTTGTTGGCTAACGCACCATATGTCATTAACCTCCCAATTATTGATACACTTTAATTGAAGTCGCAATTCAGAATTTATCTGACATGCCACTAGATGTGCTACTTTTAGCGGTAGATTCATAATGCTTGTTAAAACTAGGCTAGTCAATTGTTAATCAAACTAATTTTCAATTGGTCTTATATTTGCGATTTGAAACAATTCGGTTAAATCGAAAAATGGTGTTATATTGCGACATTTCCGCTTTATTAATTTCATTTGCAATTAATTCATCGTCCTTCCATATCATTCCTTAGATTTTTTTTCTTAGTATAAATGAATTGAGAAGACTGATATACCTAATATTCTCATTTTACTAATCTAACATTTTCCTGTGTGTTACGTTGTAGTCTATATTTGTGATCTAACTAACTTTCAAAATTATGTAATCCCCCGGTACATATTTACCAATATTACAGTATAAGTCTTACTATATTTTTCTTGCGTTCTCAAATGAAATTTCTTCAAGATTTTTTATTGATTTCTTTTCATATTTGTTTTTTCCAATTTCAGAATGAAATTCTTTTATATTCTCTTCGGATATTATAATTTCATTTAACTCTACCTATCATAATGCTTTCAGCAGACGTAGTGGCTTTCTTTAGTTTTTTCTGCAATAGTGTTGAAATGAAATTTAAATTCAAGGCACGTAATAAGTGCTAAAAAAGCGCATTGTTTGGTAGTTGATTGAAACTACCAGAAAATGGATTATGACTTTAAATTCGACCTTATTGTGTCAATTTGAATAAGCAAGTAGATTTGATGTATTGTACGGTGAGAGTATGTGTGAGATGTGTAAGCTGATTGGAAATACTAGTTATGCAATTTTCTGCAAAAATCTTTACCTGAAATTGTTTTTAAACTGAAAAGAGTTTAGAAGTCGAACATTTTGTCTTAATTCTTTTATATTTACAATTCGATCATTTTCAATATAGTGCCTTAATTTTGAAAATGGGAGAAATCCAAAGATCCGAAGAAACGTGATTGATGTAAAATCTTTTGCAATTAATATAATGGAGCGGGTATTGTTGAATGCGTGCGACATTTTCATTGCTCCGATTTGTTTTGTCTGGTTGCAACAAAATCATACGAGTTTTATATTGTCTTAAAATCTTTTTTTAATTTACACAAAGAATGGACTGGTTTACAGCCCTTCAACCGATCGACGAATATTTTAGTCACTGATCAATTCCTCAATATTTTATTTTTATTTAATTTTTTGTATTATTAGAAATGTAATTATCTGAGTATCAAAAAATCTAGCTGAATTTCTAACTCTTCCAATTGATTCTTATATTATATGGATATCAAAAACTTGCAAGCTGCAACTTTTTGCATATTTCATAAAATGATAGACATTTATTCTTCAGTGCTTCAATTTAATGAAGTCATTCCAAAAGTTTTGTTTACTGAAGCTTTTTTTAATCATCTTTCTAATATGATTGTAATCTTTTGAAAGAGTTAGAAATTCAAATCATCATCAAACAGAGAAAAAAAATGGAATACATTAATCAATAATTGTTAATATATTTTTAGGGGAATGAAATGTTACGGAAAGTTCGTCCAGTTATGGCCATCGAATAAATATTAAACAACACTGATTTATTTCATCTCTTATTTGATTGTATTTTATCTATTCATTATATATTATAAAGAAGGAAGAAAGAAGCAAAAAGTGGAAAGGACAAATATGATTTTACTCATTTGCGTTTTATTTTTAATAAAATTTCGTCAAATCGAGCAGTAAGTAAATCAGCCATATATTTCTATTAATGCTTTATTGATATTAATACATTTTTTACCTCACCAATAGTTCTATCTCACCTGTAAAAGATATTGTATTAATGGAAGCTTTCTCAAAATAATCTAGTTTAGTCTTAAAACAATGTGAATAATCTAATTAGACAAATTTACATTAAAAAATGAATATTGAACGAATAAGTTTCGTGTGCCAGAATTCATTAATTCATTTTAGCAAATTACATAATAATATTTAATATTTATTATTATATATTGGGAAATCTTCATTTTCCCAGTGATTGTTATGTTTTTTGCAGGAAACCTTTGGTTGTGACACAATCAACACTGAGATGGAATGCAACCAATGAGATGTTAATAACTCCCCGCACTTCCGCGAATAAGCTCGTTGATATTAACGTGGAAATTCATGCTTTTCAGTCCTCTCTCTTGGTCTTTCGGCAAACATTGCAAGCGAAAGTTGCTAGTAAGTGACATCGTAAACAAACTTTTGTATCTTTCCTTAATTTCCGTTATTATTCGTTTCAGGAAACAACATATATATATAATTCCATTGTCATTTATATTTGAAGTATAGTAAAAGTATAGTAGTTATTTGTCGATTAAAAGGATATCCACTTATCGATATTAGTTGTTGCAGGGTCATTGAATCGTGTCAAGTTTTTTGTGCCAGGTGGAACAGCACGGTCGGATTCTTACCGATTAGTCGTTCGAGCTGAAAATGACAATGAATCATTTGAAGAAATAATACCCGGTGCACCGGATCTAAGGAATATTTATTTACAAACCGACAAAACCGTTTATAAACCAACTGATACTGGTATATGATTTTCAAATACTTGTTTAGAGTTTAGTTAAAATTGAACAGTATTCGTCGATAAACTTCAATGTTTAAAGTTGGTCACTTCTACATTTTGAAATGATGATGGAGGAAGGTCGATGGAGTTTGTTTATCACCGCCTAATTTCTCAGAAAATGAACTTCAAAATATATTTTGAATATTTTTCATTTCTCTCAGTTAATTCTAAGAACCAATAAAAATATTTTTAAAAAAAAAATTCGCTTTTTAGTTAAAGTACGAGCATTACCAATTACAACAAGCGGCAAGTTGTACGATGAATCAGTGAATTTCGCACTTGTGGTATAATGAATTGAAATACTTAACTTTATTAATTTAGTCTAAATGCGAATATGCTAGACTTACTTCTACAAAAAAACTTTTTTGGATGGTGCTATGACGTTGTCTGTTTCAAATAGTTTACTTCACATAAAATGAACTTGTTTGTTTTGTATTAGTAGCCTATGATAACAAAAAAACTTTTGGACGAAAAATTCAGGAATTTTAGAATCCTGATGGTTTTGAACTCATACATAAAACCAGATCGACTACTAACAATCGATTTCTTGCTGTAGAATTTCAATTACCAGACCATTTGGTTTTTGGCGAATGGAAAATTTTGGCACAACCGGATCATCAAAAGCTATACACCTATTCAATTACATTTCAAGTGCAAAAATACGGTTATACCTCTTTTTTCTGATTAAGACTTCTAAAATACCAAGGAAAATGTAGAGTTTAGCAAATTTACTAACAAACGTGGTGGCGCTTTTAGTTATTGAATTCTTTTTGATTCTAATAGGCTTTCAACTGGCAGTTTACTAAGGAAATAATTCTTTTTTTTCGACAACTCAGTGAAAGGAATTACTTATAATAGGCTTTCCTAAAACTGAAATTGAAATCCATTTAAATATTCAAATAAAATATGGAAGTTCTGAAATAATGGTAATAGCAAATATAATGTTTGATTATCATTAAAAACATATCTTCCAGAGCTATCACCATTTCGCGTTCATATCCTGGCCAAAGAAACTGGTGATCTTGATTTGTATGAAATAGATGTGCTAGCAAGGTAGAAGCTCTTTAAAAAAATATTAGTTGGTCAAAGTAGTCATTAGAAGTTGACATAATATTGATCCGATGAATCACGTGCAATAGCGGTCATTATTTATATTGGAATTTTTAAAATTTATGATGTTGATTTACAATGATTGAGATTTCTTTGATTTTTGCAATTAGTGGGCTGATGCAATAGTAATTATATGAGAGACTTAGTTCGAATTCAAATTTAGGCATGCTAATGGCCGACAAATATCGGGACAAGTGTCAATTTGGTGCGATTGTGATGGGAACAGTAGCAAGTCATTAATACGATCCGATTCAGGAAAATCATTTCTCTGTATCTTGAAATCGTCCAAGGTTGGCTTTTATTTAATCCACACGTTAGCAAATGTGGCATTTTTAAATTCATTCAGGATTTTTATTTTTAGATCTGTTTTCTGTCATCATTGCATTAGAAATTACTGCAGTACTTTTTTTTTTGATCGATTTGCTAGATATTCACTGCAGAGTATTTAATTTGAAATTTACAGATGAACCTTAGATTTTAAAATCACTTCACAAAGGAGATAATATAATTATACCACAGTATATATAATAAATTATACCACTGTATTACAGTAATTTTTTGTGCTGGCGAATTATTCATTGCAGAGTACTTACTTCAAAATTCATTTATAGATGAATTCTAAACTTTAAAATCATTTTACAAGCAGATAAAAAAATTGTCCTTGTTCATATTTTCTGAGTTGTCAAATCAATCTACCATCATTTTATAAAATACTTCTAAATTTATCGATTACTCTTCTTTTTTTAAAAAAATTAATCCAAAACTTTATATCCTAAAATAATCTTAATTTAAATCGCTTCAAATGTTTTACATAACTAGTGAACATATATTCTTCACCAATTAATAACCACAAAGAGTTTTCTTTCCTCTTTCCTTTGCCTGAAATGTTGTCAAGTTGGGATGCAACTAGTATTTTTAATGAATTTGTGCCTCTCAATAAAAAATAAGTTTACAGAATGTATCGCCTCCCAGTCACGAATCAAAAGGATTAAAAATTTATTCAGTTTGATATATTTAAGTTTAACGAAAAGTTAGTTTGGAAAAAAATTTACTACTACTAATCCATTTTGTTTGCTTTCGGAATAAATATCATGAAACGATGCATCTTTTCGACATATATTTTGTCTGGAAAGATGAAAATCGCATCAATAGTAAGATAACATTACTTTAGTCATTCAATCGGAGAATTTACTAAGTAACAGAATTGGATTTGCATTTTTCAAAGCTTCAAATATATGATTTAAGATGTATTAGATGAAGAAAGAAATTGAATGCAGTAACGACAGCAAAATTGTTTCATAGTAAAAATTTGTTTAGGTGCAAAAGTGAAGGATTTTCAAGATCTATGTACAAAAGAAATGAAGTATTATAGTGAATTTTATTTTTCTAGCAAACATGATCAAATTGATGAAGCTATTCTGAATGATTATTATTAGACAAGTGGGACAATAATTAGTCCTTAATGATGGCATTTAACTGTTTGACTCATTTGAAAGCAGTTTAATTATAATTCCATGATGATTGTAAGATAATCAATCATTAAGCGTATTTTTCTATATTTAATACTTTTAAAAGAATTTTTCTAAAAAGCATGAAGCGCCAATTCCGGATTTCTTTGTAGTACAATAGTTTCTATCTGAAGGTTGTGCGCACTTTTCTATGGCTCTTTTAAAAGAAATTACCTAATCATTGATTTTCTATAAATCGAGCAGAAAGATCTTTCTCGGAATCTAGGCCTAAAAAATAGAGTATAGTAATCTAGTCGCACAGATGATATTAAATATTTCAAAGTAGGTTTCCCCCAATAACTATTGCCTAATTGAAAAAATTACCTAGCAAAAAAGAGAACTTCGCCGAAAATCAGTGATTCGTGATATTATAGTTATGGTAGATCTGATAAGAATAAGTTTTTTTATTGACTCAATTTGCAGTTACATTAAATTTTACTTCGTGAATCATTTTTGTAAAAAGCTGTAAGAAACGAAACGATAAAATTTTTAATTGGAAACTAAATCCAGCAATTCAAGCACTTCAGTGTGTTCGTTGTATAATTGACACTTGACCTTTCTAAGAGATTTCTTCTTTGTTTAATCATTTTTATTATTCACGCATTAATAGTATCATAACGTGCAAAGGCGTGCAATATTAATACATAGAAAGGCATAACCGATTTTCATTTTAAAAAGCGTGAAAAATTAGTTATGAGTTTTCTAATTACTTTCCCTCTTTTCAATCTTCTATTTTCCTGTTTTCTTTCTTTTCTTTTTCTTTAATTCTGAATAAAGATATAATTAGAACTGAATAAAAATAATTTTGCATTTATCAAGTCATTTTACGGAAATAATATTACTTTATTAACTATAACTTTTTATTTATTATGCTAGTTGAAAGCAAATTATTATTTAAGGAATAATTAGGAACTTCGAAATCAAAACTTTTATATTTGGTAATATTGAAATACTTTTACTTGAAATACTTTTTGTTTTTCTGAGATCATTCTTTTCAAAGTTAAGAACTTCCTAGAAAAATAAGAAATTCTTATTCAGTAAAACTTCCCCGATTTTTCTCTATCTTTCAACATTTTAAGGCTTTTTATAGTTCCAACTCTCATTTTCAGAAAATCAAAGTTATTAAACTTATTTACAGAAAATTATGCTGTAAATCTCTCTCTCTCTCTCTCTCTCTAAAATCACAATGGAGGTCACTTATTGATGGTACTGTAAATCTCTCTCTAAAATCATAACGGAGGCCTTTTTAAAATCATTAAGAACTAGTGGACAAAATGTTCAAAATTGATCGCATACAACTTTGATAAGACTTCGCTGCAAAGTTCTGCCTTTCTATTTCATCTGATTTTTATTATCTGTTGGAGAATTTGTAAAAATTTCTAATTAAATGTTATGCTAATAATTTTAATCAAAGAAAGCAAGTGCCGGATTGTATAACTAAAAGCATTTCAAAAATTTATATAATTGTGTTTGAATTTTTAAATGAGAATGCAAATTTCATGTAATTCCAGTTAGAGTAAATATATAAAAAATTAAAACTGTTACTAGGTATTGTTATATTAGTCGGAAAAGCTGTTCGGCCGGTATGCTTTGTTGTTTCTGAACTGAAGGAAAGCGGCGACAATTGCATGCGTTTTGTTGAAGTGATTTTTTGGCACAATTATCAAACAAGAGCAGACATTGATAATAAGGATTGCAATTTATTCCAAGTAAACACATTCCATTTAACGACAATTTCAGCAGAAACCGGAGTAATTCGGCAAACATCAACCGTTTTAGCTCGGAGCGCTATGGGAACTACTGGAAGCACTGTGGTCGATGCAATTGATATTCCAGTTCTGAATGTTGATGAGGGCAGAACTGGTGAAAGTATTCGGGATTTAATCCTCACTTTAGCACAAGGTGAAGGAGCAGGTGACGTGAGCACAGCAATTGAATCATCTTTATCGACTGCCAGTGGATTGTTTTCTGATCACTGTATTAGTGGCATATCCATATTCTCGAGCGGAAGTGATGATGATGATAATAATAATGGTGATGGGAATCATGTCAATGACACGGATGATAAGGAA